ACCGGCAACTATCCTGCAGTCTGTGCGCGCGCTACAGACTCGTAAAGTCACGGGATGTGACCGGAGAGCTCGCGGGCTCAGATATCTGTGTTAGTGGCAGAATAAATAAAAAGATTGATTTAAAAAGCATTACTTCTTACTTCTACTACGTCTTCCAGCTAGTTTGTGTCCGTGTACGTCCCTGCGTCATATTTAAACTTTGACCTCACGTTGCGTGATTAGTTGGGGGGAAATGAAATCCACCAGGGGGCGTACAGGTACAGTTTCTGAATGAGCTTCATCGACGCACTGGCATATTTTGAAAAAACAAAAAACAAAAATTAAAATAGAATAACTCGAAAACATATTTGCTTTACAGAAAAGTGAAAATTTGACAATTATGTTCCCATTTAAAAAATATTCTGGTTTTATGTTGAGCCCTAGCATTTTTTATATATTTGACTATTTTGTGTAATCCCCCCGCCGCCTTTTTAAGTACTGGTGCTAGTAAATTTTGAGGTATATTGTATGTTAGCCATAATTGAACCTATATTGTCCTCTCACCCAGTTGGACAGTTTCCAGATTTGAACGCCTTGAAACAAATTTCTGTCTGCTTCACAACCCTTCCCAGCGGATGTCTGCATATTAATCAGCATATTAATCACGCTTTTCTTTGAATATACACTCTTTCAGCAGTCACTTTGTTTTTAAGTTGCTGAGTAACCGCTGCAGTTTGTTACACCAATATTAAATGGCCATTGTTTTATTCGTTTTTGTAATTGCTATAAATTGACCTTCTATTCATTGGAAAGGTTATCTCTTTACAACACAATACTCTGAGCCGATTACTCGAAAATAATAATAATAAATAAGTACCAGTCAAGCATAAGAGTTTATTCATTTGAGACAGCGTGACAAACGACGGTGGTATATTTGGGGGGTTTCTGTCAACTTGATCTTACAACCTTTTTCCTTAACTTGCTGTTTCTAAATATATTTTTAAATATTTTTTTATTTAAGTGTTTTGTGTTGTGTGTGACTTAAATCTGCTGAATTTATCTGACTTCATTTTTTTTTCAAACCTGACATAATCTAATTAAGTTTGTCCAGCAATTCTCCTTTTCCTTTTTAGGTCATGGAGACCTGACTCCATCTGCTGCTGAAGACGGTGCGTCACATGTGACACCTGTGGACATGAAAGCGAAGTGGATGGTACATGACAATTGGTAAGATGCTGAGTACATTAACTATATGCAACAGAAAGTTAGATACATTTACACCCACATCCCCTGCACTGATGGAACAAGTATTGATATTGGAGACATGTATGATTATTGAAATCATGCTAAATTACATTTTCTTAGATAGTGTTTCAATTAATTAAGCTAAATAAGTGCCTGTAGACATTGCCAAGCTAAGGATCAATATTTGCTTCTAGGAGGACATTTTTATATATCATACACTAGTGAACAAAGCTATAACTGATATAAAGACATTCAATTCTTGGCTTAAAATAAATCAGGTCCGACTTTATTAATTAGAGCTGTTTAACCTCCTAAGACCCGAACTCTTCCACAACATGCATTTTTAATTTTTCTTTGATATTTGGGCATATTGGGGCCCAGTGAATGTAAAAACAAAGAATTACCAGATTTATTTATTTTTTTTTACCCAATTTTTGTTTCTAAGAAAAATAAGAGCCACAAATGAGGATATTCGTTTAAAATTTCGATAGAACGGTAGCAGTATAATGTCCTTCTAAGTGGATATTAGGCCCTTGTCGAGCAAAATTGAGTATTTGGGTCTAAATAACCAAAAATGTGATGTCCACATATGTGGACGCCAGGTCAGAGGAGGTTAACTTCTCATTAACACAAATACAGTGTCTAATTAGCCAATCACATGGCAGAAACTTAGTGCATGTAGACATGTCAAGATGACCTGCTGAAGTTCAAACTGAGCATCAGAACAAGGAAGAAAGGTGATTTAATGATCTGAAAAAGAAGAAAATATCCAGAAGAAAAGCATCTCTGAATGTGGAACACAGCGAACCTTGAAGCAGATGGGCTAAAGCAGCAGAAGACCACACTGG